ATAGTCGCATCATCATGTGCAGAACATTAAATGAAAAGAAATTTCATTTCGAACTACATTCATTTTTCATGAATTCCCAAACAGTTCACAATCATATGAGACATTTATTGGGAACTCCTCGTAGCAATGATGAAGTCAGATCATGGTCACATATTTTTTGATTGAACCTCGTGCAGAGGTGCAAAACAGCTCTTAGCCGACAACCTCCTGCACCGCCACATGCCAGCAAAAAATTAAATCTCGACCCGAAACATTAAAGAGACCGACGGAAGTGAATTCATTTCTGTTAAGTTATATACGGTGGTATAACTGTGGCACCCCCGAAAACCGAAGGATGATCTCAAATTTTATGCCTCTGGAGAGAAGGATCTCCATCAATCCTTGAGAGTGGTGGAAGAGTACACACATGCTATCGGTATGAAATTCGGGATAGACAAATATGCAATGGTCCTTCTCAAATGAAGACGATGCGGGGACTACGGAGAGGATGTGCAGATCGTAGATGAAAGCATCCAACACCATTTGGATGCCGGAGAGACGTATACTTACCTCGTGGTGGAACAACGCCACTCAAAGAGGTAACGGCAGTGAAGAACTCTCTCTGCGGCAAGTATCAGCACAAACTTCGACAGATCTGGTCATCGGAACTGTCGGGGAAGAACAAAGTTGCTGCAACAAATATGCTTGCCGTTCCAATCTTACTCTACTCGTTTGGAGAAGTGAAGTGGACTTGGGAGGAGCTGTAGCAACTCGATGTGAAGACCCGAAAATTGATGCAGCTCTATATGAGTTTGCATCCTAAATCGTCCATTCCACGGTTGTATTTTCCTCGACAACAGGGTGGCCGTGAACATTTGAGTTTGGAGTATCTACATGACAGAATGGTACTGTATATAGTCAGTTAAGTCGTCAGGAGTTTGGATCCCCTTCTCTGCATGGTCCTTGTACATGAGAGGGTGAGATTTGGAGCATTTATCTTAAGGGCAGCTACCCGAGCAGCTGATGAACTTGGTGTAGTCATCGACACTGAACGAGGTGACCACAACTCTGTCACCTAGCACCCGTTCAGCAAAAAGCTCAGATAAAAGCCGCAGAAATCACCTTACTTCTGCGAAAACATTAGGATTAGCCAATGCATGAGGTATTCTTCAATAACATTGGAGACCTTGGCTTATCATAGCGCCTGATGTTTGCTTTTCTCAGGTCGAGTGCGCTGAAGTCGGAAACTGAAGGGTTCACCATGGCTTGCCAGGATGGTGTCTTCAACACCTTAGTCTACCGCAGCCGCGTGATGGGTATGGAGGTTCCTGACACAAGTTGCAGGGCATGCCGCAAGGCGCCCAAGACTCTAATACACTTGCTATCGGCATGTCCAGTATTTGCGGCCTTGGCATATTATATCCATTGACATAACGCGGCCCTAAGAGTGATATATTACCATCTATGGTACTCTTACGGTATTGACGGGACACCGGTGTGGCCCTACGCTCCGGGGGATATTGAATTCGTTGTATGAAACGAGGAGTGCCGAATTTATTGGAACTACTCGTTCCCCACCCTCAGGCTCATGCAAGCTAAAAAGCCTGATGTAGTCCTTCTTGATCACCAGGGCGAAACGATATTTGTCCTAGAGTTTTCAGCTCCTGGCGAGACGGATATCGTCAGGAAAGAGGAGGAAAAATGGATAAAATATCGAGATTTTCTCTTCGAACTTCGCAGACTCTATCCAGGTCACTCTGTCAAGATGGTTGTTCTGAATAATGGCGTCCTTAGTGGAATGATGCTCTACTCTCGAATCTCAAAATCATTTCGGCTTGCAGCACTAAGGCAAAAATCTTAGCTGGACAGATCCAGAAGGCTATCATTCTTAGGTCACTGCGCTTGCTCAGGGCACATGATTCTCAGACCCAATGATCACTTAATAGTAACGCAATGCGTGAAGTTTTAAGACCACTTTCAGAACTCCCTAGAACTCACTTTTATTTGCAAAAGATTATAATATTCATGAAATTCAAAGTAATACTTGGCTAATTGCACTACCCCTCAGCTGTAATGATAAACTGTTTAGAAAGTGAGGTTGAAACGCGAATTATAAAAACCAATTCAATCTTGAAACTCTTAGATAATTGTAATGCTTTCTTTGGAAATAATAGAGTGTATTCAAAAAGAATTGTAAAAGAACAAAATGTAATTTATAAAAGTCATCCAATTTTAATACCATATCAATTCTGCAAGGATCCTGATCGGGATGGGTTTAATTGCCCTTTCTCGAACACGGGAGAGTTATAATCAACTTCGATATTAGTGGACTGGATTCCTTGTAGGTTGTTGGTTTTTTGAGTAAATTGACGCTGAATCAGTTCGTTAACTGAATATATTTACAATCCTTAGCAGCTACCATCTCACAAAATCGTAGGACATACAAGTAACATTGGGCGTTGGCAAAATGCTTCTCATAAGATAGTCTGTGTTTAAATTACTTACAAAACGTTTCCTTCTTCAAGACACACTATGCACAATGTACCACTAATATATGCAAATTCACCTTCTTTTATTTATTAACTTGGAAACATACAAACGCCGAAATTATTCGAGCGTCGTGGATAAATTGAAAAATGAAGAGACTAAATCTTAGTAGGAGAAAGAAAAGCCAGTTAGGTTTCACTACCTCGGAGGACAATCTCGGAATGCGTTGTACCTCTCTCGGTTCTTTTTGGGAATTTTTAATCGCCACATGTCGACCGATAAGGGAAAGGGGCGATGTTTCTGGAATTCTGGGAATTCGTTGAAGGAACCTAAAGGTTTACAGATGTAGGAGTTGGAAAGCAATAAATGAATTGACAGAGCGCGTTCAGGGATGGATTAAGCACAATTTAAGTTGGAACTGAATAACTAATAAAGGATCAGAAGAAGCTTGTTGGAAACTGTGTTTCCAACATATTCCCGCCCCGTTGAAATCTCAGATATTTCAACAAGTCAAAGTGAGGAAATGCCATTAAAACACAACCGCGAAATCAAACGAAAAAAAATGAACCTAATGACGCCAAGTAACTAACGCAGAGAACGCGTTACACTGGCTGAGTTAGGGCAGACCTTACTGATAGGCCTGACGAAGACACCTTCTTGGGAGCGAAGTTTCACGGCACGGACCCTTTGGTCAGAGCTAGGAATGATTTCCACAATTCGGGCCAATGGCCACTTCAGTGGTGGGACATTATCTTCCTTTAATAAAACTAACTCATTAATTTCTAAATTTTTGGAAGGAGACAGCCATTTTGGCCGATTTTGCAACCGGTTGAGGTATTCGACAGTCCATCTTTTCCAAAAAAAACTGTTATATCTGGGAACACCTCTGCCAGAATGTCAGTCTATTTTCGGGTAAGTGGGTAGTATCTAATTCAGGATAAGAGGTTAAGCCACGACCTATTAGGAAGTGGCCAGGAGTCAGGACTCCTAAATCCCGCGGATCACTCGAAATGGGACATAACGGTCTAGAATTTAGGATGGCTTCAATTTGAGCCAGTACAGTACTGAACTCTTCGAAGGTGAACTGAGAATTTCCAATAATGCGATAAAGGTGCTGCTTGGCTCCTTTTACTGCAGCTTCCCACAGACCTCCCCAATGATGACTGCGAGGCGGTATGAATTTCCATTCAAACCCAGTTTCGGATGCGAAAACCTTCAAGGATTCGGACAGTTGGGACTTGGCGAAAAATTCGCGCAATTCTCGAAGGTGATTTCTTGCACCTACGTAGTTTGTAGCGTTGTCGCTGTGGATTACAGCGGGAATTCCTCTACGGGATATGAAACGTTTTAGGGTTGAGAGAAACGCTTCGGTGGACAAGGAGGAGACTAACTCCAAATGCACAGCCTTGGTAGCCATACACACGAAGACAGCCATGTAACATTTAATAGTCGGTGCCTTTCTGAGGCGCGAGGACTTTATTAAGAAAGGACCACCGTAGTCTACTCCTACCTTCTCAGAAGGTCTAGAAAGAGTGACTCGATCAGGAGGTAAATCGGACATAATCTGTTGAGCCGCTACGGCTCGGAACCGGAAACAATTCATGCATTCATGAATTACTCTCTTTACTTCCCTGATTCCATTCAGAGGCCAATATTGCAAACATTAGCAAGGACAGTTTGGGCACCAGCGTGACCCAACCGGATATGCTCCCTTTTGAGTAGGAGGGACACTACATAATTTTTTGCAGGGAGAAGTATGGGGTGTTTTTGGGGTTCAGGGACGTCTGCGTGACGCAAACGCCCTCCGACGCAAATTAGACCTTGCTCATTCAGGAAGGGATTGAGAGCTAATATACTTTTGTCAGAAATTGATTTCGAGGATTTTAACGCGGAAATTTCTTTAGAAAAATATTGGGACTGTAAATTGCGAAGGACCAGCATAAGGCAGAATTTATCTCAGATATGGATAAAGGACCGAACAACTTGGTCTCCTTATTTTTAGAGTTGGATAAAAAACGTGAAACATATGCTACTGAGTGTAGTAATTTGTTAAAGGAAGAGAATCTCTGGAATATTTCATTCCAAAATTCGTCTTTAACTTGAGTACTTGTCACTAGCACTTGTCTTTTGCCTGAACAAAACATCCATCGGTAAAAAACCAAACGTGAATGAAATATTACCAGAAACTGGGTTCAGCGTTCGTACCTTAGGAGAAACACGATTTTAAATCGGGAGAAGTACGAATTTTTTACTTATGACTGGAAAAAAAACAATTACAATGCTATTACTACCAATATAAATCCTGATTCGATTGGACCGAAAAATTGGTGGTGTTTTTCAATATCAGCAGACTGTATATAATACGGGGACTGAGACTTGGTGAGTTGCGCTGGCAGATTTTTAGACACTGGTCAGAGAGGCCGTAAGTCACTCGTTTCGTGGTACCACACACACACGCCCGATACTCGAAGGTACTCGTGTCAGAATAAATACATTGAAGAGAGTTCTAAGTTGTTTGAAATCTTCAAATAAGTTTAATTTCTTCCATTTTCACTGGACTCCTTGATAACGCAGTGATGCGGAAGGAAATATTTTATCTCAGCGGATTTGTCGGTGGGATTAAATGGAACATATGTGGCATGTTTCAATGACACATATTCATCAATGAAATTTTTATAAGCGGAAAATAATTCTTGATTATTTTGGAGCCGTTTCTCTAAATTGGTAAATCGCCTTTTTGCAATATGGAAGGAATCCCCAAGAGGAATCTTCTCAGTGGGGCATTCGAAAGGAAAATCTACTTGGAACGTACCATCTTTGAGACGCACATGCGTTTGAATAAAAATTTGTTCAGCAAGCTCTCCGTCTGCTAATAAGAACTTAGACTTTGGAAGCTCTTCAACTTCCCAGAATCTAGAAAGAATTTCACCTAATGAATCTGTGGATTCGCAGGCATTTTGGCAAAGGAGTGAAACCTTGCCTTGTTTCGGAACCCTCTGAGGAGGCAATTGTCCTCCAATAATCCAGCCGAGCCTCGTCAGCTGAAGGGTAGGAAGTTTGGGACCTAGCCTGTGGATTTGTGGCAGTGAAATGTCGTAATAGGCGTCAGCGCCCAGGAGAAGGTCCACATCGGATGGAATGTGAAATTCTGGATCAGCAAGTCTGAATTCTGACGGAATATTCAAGCTATTTTTGTTTAGCGGAATTCTAGGTAATTTGGAAGTGATTACCGGGAGTATTGCACAAGACACTTTGAGCCTAAAATTCTCACGAGCATTGAAACAGATAACAATATCTAACATTTTGTTAGAAACAGACAATTTGATTGTCGTAAGTTTTATCATTCAATTTTCTTACGAATTTTTCAGAAGCGAAGGAACATTGACTGCCGTTGTCTAGAATCAGCCTAGCTTTAACGGGATAACCGTTTTCGGAAAGAACATCTACTACGGCTGTGGCTAATAGAATTTCATGATCTTCTTTACCAACAAGAAGTGCGGATGGCATCGAAGATGCCGGAGTAATTGCCTGAGGTTCGGGCTCAAGGGCTCGGAAGTGCGCCGTATTGTCAGCATTTGGAGTGGGAGGATTAAGGGGAGAAGAACGCCAATTTTGACTGGGACTTGTGGTTTGAATCAATTTTGGAATTGCCCCCGTACTACCTTGAGGCCTGAGACTATCTCTCGGACTATTATTCGAATTTTGGGAATTTTTTGGAACATTACCTTGGGAAGAGTTTCTGTGAAGTAGTGTGTGGTGTTTTCTACCACATAGGGTACAACTTTTAGACTTACACTTGGTCAGCAGGTGTTTGCCACCCAGACAGTTGAAACAGAGGGCCAAGGACCTAAGAAAACTGTATTTTTCATCAGTACTAATTTTGGAAAATTCATAACATTTATAAATATCATGATCAGGGACCTTACAGAACCAACAAATTCGACCTTTACTGGTCGGGAAACTA